ATGTAAATCACGTGTCTCAAGCCATACTTCCAAAACTTAAAAAGGATTTATTGGGAGTTAAACTGTCCGGCACTGCCTGAGTGTAGCCAACTCCAAGCTACATAATTGTCACCCTTGACCCTGGTTTCCCCCCACCCCCTGGGTGTATTGTAATTCATATTCTCCAGTGGGACACATCTATAGCCAAGTCATACCCTCCTTAGAATTTTGCATGGCAGAAACTTCAGTCACTTTACTATCCTTGAAAACATTTATGGAATGCAGTTTGTTTGCAAGCTGCTGCATTGCTCCCCCTCCGTTTGTTGGAAATTCTAAAAAAACCATAGAAATATTTTATTCGTTGACCTCAAATCCCTTTGCCAGATTTGCTGAAAATAGATTTTACCCCATTGTTTTTCTGTAATAAAATTCAGTCCAGTGTAAAGGGGATAGGTAACATTGGTCGTCCACCAGGCTTTATGCTTGAAAGATTTGAACTTGGATTTCATCTCCAACCAATACTGGAGACAATGTTACTCTGATTTTAGCATTGGAAGTGGCATTAAGATGAAAGTTGTTCCAGAGCAAAATTTAATGATGTTGCCAGTTTAGGCTCCAGAGTGATTTCGCACTGAAGTGGAACAGAACCAGGTCTTTAGAATGAGATCCACAGCACTGAAGACTTCCCTCTCCTTTAATATAGTATCTTCTAATCAACCTACCCGAGTGTTCCTGTTTTCCCACCATTTTTGACTTTTGGTGGCTTTTTAAAAACATCTTAAAACTAGTAGTTTTACATTTCTACCATTAAGAAAAATTAGCATTTTTGCGAAGTTTATTGAACAAGATACCACACTTTTATGTGGTAGAAGAAACATATTACCTTATTTGAAATAGCACTGAAATGATTATAATCCTCATGGGTTTTCACTGTAGTTTTAAGGAAGTCAGTGATGTGGTCCAGGGTCTCATGCTTTTCTTTTTAGACTTGCATAAGAAAAAAAGCCTGGGTTGGGCAGTTTTGTTCCCTTGCCTACAAACCATCCGCTTACTGTTTTACAGTGAAATTGAAAATATGCCATTGTAAAATCACTCATCTTATGCTTCCAAATTAAACAAGAACATTGGAAAATAGTGATACAAATCTTAGTATTTTTCATTCTGATAATTCATAGGACAATGACATATCAACATAAATTACTAATCCACATCAGTCAGAAATTTGTGAGTGTACTTGTTCCTGTAAACATGCCCTCAAGTTTTGTTCTAGCAGGATGTGTCCTTAAGCTCTGAGACCTATCTCCTAGGCTAGAGCCAAACATTTGCACAGCACCTGTTGTTTCATGTGGAACTAAATGACCAATGTGAATCCAACATCTCTAAGTGGCTTCAAGTTTGTGTCGTAACAATTTAGAAGAAATCATGCAACTCAGTTGCTTAATACAGAAATAAATGATGGTCCAGAACTAGAATTGAAATTCATCAACTATCATGATTAACTGTGTTTATTACAAGCATTTGTTTATTACATGCTTCAATTTTTGCTCTCATAGCTATCAGTTGTATGCATGTTCCATTGAAGAATCAAAAATGTCAATTTATGGAAACAGACGAATGTTTCTTCAGGATTAGTCATCCTGCAGAGCAGAAGATAAAAGCAAACAATTTAGCACATTAAGTATGGTAACCTATTGAATATCTTAATTTTGCTAATAGTTGATTGAGGTCCACAAGATCCCTAATGCTGGCACCGTTCTAGTACCATAATGTATCTAAAACCCATTACCAAACACGGTTGATCTCAGTCTTGTTTGGGGAAAAACTTAGCTGAGCACATACATGATTCAGGTACTCTTTTAGTAAAATGTGAGGCACAGAGAAACACATGCACTCACCCCATTTCCATCTTGCTGGGGATTGCTGAGATTACCCATTTTTAGCCTCAACCCTGTTTTCATAAGACAAAAAGGGAGCATAGGTGCTCTTTGCCACTCATAGTCCTAGAATAGCAAGACACAATCCATAAATATTATCTAATATTCAGTTTCAGTTAGCCACATTCCTAGTTACTATAACATAACAATTTGTACATTTGATGCTACTATAGATAGGTACAGAAATGATAAACTGATCATAAATTCATAAATCGTGAGTTAAACTGAGATGCTGACAAGCCGACAATCTGGAATCATAATCCTACTCTTACATGCAGAATAACAACAGAATAAGGCAAATTAATTTCAGTATTAGATTACACAATTAAGGTTTACAGAATGAATTTTAAAAAAATTCTTAACCCCCCCAAAAAAACTCATTTTAAAAATTTGTTACCTGAAAATTAATTTAGAGGGCACATCAAGTATTCCAGGTGAGAATGTTACTGATTTTCTTGCCTGCAATTTGGTAATTAGAAACATTACCAATAGGAATCCAGCAATGCTTTATTATTGGCTACTTTTCTAACTGAAAAATCACACATAAAATCAGGATTTTCAGTTGTATGAAAGGTACTTTTTTTATTTGCCTATGTACGTAATTAGGTATGTTCAACGATCTGTGATGCATCATACACCTTTCTTAGCAAAATCACTGGGAAATTATCCCTCCACAATACAATGATGCCTGACATAGTTTGGTAACAACAGTAAGAAACTATATGCCAGGAGCATGCAAATAGCAAAAAGCAACCAACCACTGTTCTTAAGAGTTCCCAAAAGTAAAATAAAATAATTTGTTCCATTGATTTCCATATTCTGCTAGTTAACTTTTTGTTCTAGGTAAGCAGGGTAATAAAGCTTGATTCAAAGAGTGCCCATTTTTCCTATGCTAAAAAAGGTGGTGTTTCATCAGGGAAAAAAATCTCAACATATTGAAAATGTTTTGTTTCAAGCTCATAGTCCTTAGCCTCTCTCCCATTCCATTCATGTTGATACTTGATGTTGTGTGCAAATTGTCTATTATAACTAACACCTACTGTATAGAAGATGCCGAACCCTACCGGAGACCACTATAATTTTTTGAGCCATTCACAAGCCACGAATTCAGCTGAAGACAGAATTTTTTAAAAATGTTACTTCTCATTAATTGGTGGATATCTGACCCCCACCGCCACCCCACCTAGATATGGTCTCCAAAACTTCAAAATCCTAAGTTAAGCTTCATCTCCAGCAAGGTCTAATTGTTAAGCCACTCACCTCTATAACAGCTGTCTGAAGTACCGTGGATGGTAGAATTTTAGACCTAAATGCCAATTAGATGATTTAATAAGCCCATCCACATTGATTTGAATACAGTAATAAATATTCAATATATTTCACATTTTCCCAGTTTGTTGTTTTCTCCAAAACCCAGAGCTCAGAATACAATAAAAGAAACATCAGTGTTGTACACATTCTTACCAAGCAAGTTTTCCAGTAAGATATCCACCTCTGGTCACAGAGGTTTCTTCAACAATCTGCAAGTCAAACAGATCTTTCTTACCATGTTCAGAGAGGAATTATTTTTTAATTCATGAAAAGTGTTAGAAACAAACCTTACCTAGTCTTACTCCCCTTTCAGGTCTAAATGCTAGACCTACCACTGTAGGCCAACTCAAATAGCTATGACCTGGGGAGCTTCCAATTGGTGAAGAACTCCTAGACTTTCTTCCGTTATTTCATCACTGACAGGCAGATTTAACTATTTGGGGAAGCTGCTCACTATCAGCATAGTATATTTATGCCTTTTCTTGTCTGGAAGTTGAAGCTGTTGCTGCCTTGTCCTTCTTTAATTTGCTGACTCGGGCGCTGCAGTCCTGTCTGAATCTCGTTTGATCCTCATTTCGGCTAAGATATCTTTAATGCCGGTTATTCACTGTCCACTCCTTTTACTTGTCAGAATTCAGAGATCTAGGTCTAAGTCACTGATTACCTTACAAGTTTCACATTTTTACAAAAGATTAACACGCTGGTATTGTTTTCTCTATATAACATCGAGAGTCATTCCATCACCATTAAAAACAGATTGAATGTCTTAACCAATTACTCATTATGTTACTGGATTCAGTGACAGACTTAGAAGGGATGAGTCTGATCTACCTTTGCAGGAAATGCACATATATGTACTAATGTAAGCCCCACCCAGAGATACCCTATGGGGAGATGGCATATAAATTTAAAAAATAAGGAATGTACATGAGAACACTACAGTAACAGCTGAATCCCTTTCAACAAGCTTTGACTACTGGTATGCAGACATTTTCTTGGAGATAGAAGATATCAACATTCCCACATTTAGTCATACGATACTGTAGATCTTTGGGGGACTGATACTCTCGAGTTGGGTTCACATATAGTAATAGCACTTAAGACTTATATACCATCCCGTAGTGCTTTGTAGCAGAGGTCCCCAACTCCCAGTATTAGGCCGCAGCCTGTTCAAAACTGAGCCACAGGAGATGGGCAGGTGCATGCGCATAAAGCTACACTCGTGCATGTTGAGCAAGGATGTACTCGCATGCAAAGCTCCATTCGTGCAAGTGGAGGACATTTGTGCTCATGTGAGAAGCTCCACTCACGCAAGTGGAGGACATTTGCACTCATACGTAAAGCTGTTTGCACAGATGGAGCTTCGCATACAAGCACCTTCTGCTTGCATGAATGGAGCAAATGCCTACTACTCACAAGTGGAACTTTGTGCGCAAGCACCCACTGCTTGTGCACAAAGCTCCATTTGCATGAGTGGAGGGTGTGTGCACCCGCCACTTGCACAAATGGAGTTGTGCATGCGTACACCTGCCACTCACATGCCCCTTTCCTGGGCCAGCAAGCTGGAAAGGTTGGCAACTACTGCTTTACAACACTCTTTGAGCATTTTACAAATGTGAGCAATCTGGCTTCTCATTTACCAACCTTAGAAAGATGGAAGGCTAAGTCAACTTTGAACCCTAAAGGATTGAACTGCTGGCTCTCAGCAGTTAGCCTGCAATACTGCATTCTAACTACCGTGCCACCATGTTTCCTTTTATACTTTTTATTTTAAAGTAAATATTAACCATAGCATTCTATACCCAATGACGAGTTCATGTCTGATTCTTGAGCAATTTGTTCAGCAATCAATTCCTACACTGGAATTAAGTTTATCTTAAACTTATTGACCTACAGAAATAAGAGGTGAAAAATGTCTGAATTTCTTCTACTCACTGTGCCCTACTCTTCTGGATGTGTACTGACAGAAAGCACTGCTCTGGCAATAGTTCAAAAAGAAGTCTGATCAGATTAAGAAGGATAGCAAATTATTAGGGAACATGGCTGTAAATAAACCTAGGTAAGTGAAGGAGTAAACAACTTAGTCAAGAGTGTGACTTTAATAATTTTTATCAAATCATTCCAACGAACAGTCTGTATTTAACTGTAGCCATAGGACCCTCATTAGCAACAATAGGTTCTACCAAATTAGCTCCTATTTCTTTCACTTTACCTTCAAGACCTATTATCAGGGCATTAGAAAGTGTATGAAACATCTTGATGCATTCATGCTCAGAAGAATTATACTTATTCCAACAAACTCAGAGGGATTGTTTCTATGCTGCAAATTAGCATCAGATAGAAAGGGGCATACAGAATTATACACAGTAGAACTTAGGCACCTTAACAGATGAACCTATATTTTTAGGGCAGATATATATATATATACATATGAAACTGTAGAACTGTAAGCTAAGTAACAGACCCACGCTATTAGATTCAAAGTTTTAATTTAATTATATGTGTGCATTTAATCTGTTTGCAATTTGAGGGAAATTGAGTCTCAACAATTATAAAAGGCAGAAACCTGTCCTGCCAATGTTTCTTGTAGCTCCTTTATATATCAGCGAAGTGGGAGGCAAACTGAATAAACTTTAAAAGATCTTGTCAATGCTTATTTACTTAGAAGGTTTAAACTAAAAACAAATGCTACAAATTATGATATGCACAACCCAGAAATATCTGGAATTCTCATTTGAAAGTAAAGCTTTTATCATTCACAAGCATTGGTTTAAATGACTCAGTCCTAATTATACAGCTAAACAAGCTTTAATGCAAACATCTTTCCTCTCCCTATGCATGTGCAACTCATGTCATTTGGTTACATATGCAGAAAAAAAATTAAGAGTACTTAAAACGTTCAGCATTGTTGTTTTAAATTAATACAGATTATAATGCACTGATTTTTTTTTCCTAGCAAGAATATACCCTAAAACTACATTTCTTTGTTTAAAGAAGTTTCGGTAAGAAAAAACTGAACTACACAAGTATTGAAAAAAAATTAAATGTTCCTTAATTATTTTTAATGCCTGGTACCACTACCACAAATTTACAGGGCAATATACCTGATTTTATGAAGAAAAGACAAAGCTACAACAACAAATTAAAAAAAGTCAGGAATGTACATCTAAACACTACATTGCATTAAATCAATAGCTGCACTCTTTGCAAACTGTGGCTATTAACAGTCCTTAAGAAGGGTTTCCTGTTTAAGCTGCAGTAACTTTTCTGACTATGGTTCATCGCTCCTTCTGTGGCAGATTTTACAGTTCCTCTAATTCATTTGGGACGACTGTCTCAAAGTAACCTGCAGCTTTCCTGACAACTCCTCGCTTTCTCCTGCTAAGAACTGTAGCCTGTTGAATACAGGATAAAAAAAAAAGATTACTCTCAAAGAAATGCTGTAAGCTTAATTAAAAACACTTATTTGTAGCATACATACCATTATCCCACTAGTTTTTAGAATCTTCTTCCACCATAGCCACCACTTCCTCCACCTGATCCATAGTTACCTACAAATGGAGTATAACTGTTTATATTCAAGTTCTTGTTGAAAGATACTAGCCAGCTGAATATATTTTAATGTTGCATTTACCACCGTAGGGACTGCCTGAACTTCTGCCACTGAAACTGCCACTTCCTTTCATGGGTCCATAACTTGAGGCCTGCTGTCCACTGTAGTTGCCAAAATCATTGTAGCTTCCACTGCCACCATAGTTGCCTAAAACAGAAATTTAATTTTATGTTCAAGTCTGTTATATAATTTGAAGTAATTTAGAAAAGTACTTCATTCGATTAAATAAATGAAGCACTATTGCATACAATTGAATATGCAATGTACACATTTTATGGACTTAAGGTACTTTATGAAATTTCGATGAACAATGCGAGTTGTAAAACATAAAAACTTATGCAGTTTTTAGCTAAAAAAATGGAAGTCATGAACTCATTGTTTCTGTTCTTCTTTTTTCTCCACTGATAAGAAACAAACAATACTTGATTCCAGCTAGTAACTTTGCTACGATAACCTGTGAGAAACAAACCTGAGGAACACTGGGAGGAAGAAACACCATTCATCTCCTTCTGTTTCAATTTAAGTGTTTTCAATTTAATGTTTTTTCAATAAGGAAAAAAAAAAAGCAATCTATTCCAGCCTCTCCAGATAGCTGAACTTTCTCAGTTCAAAGTGCCCCTAGCGTTCCGTAATTTTTTCATGATGCCCTGTAATTCCCAATATTATTTAAATATAGAGTCATCCTTCTTCTAGGTAAAGGAAGTTTAAATTAGTTCCAAGTTTTAGTTCTCATACTGATGCATAAATTTGATAATCTCATTTGTTCATTATCTTTTAAATCAACACATTCAGTTTGCTCTTTCTAGAAATATACGCTGATCGGAAAATTTATCCTTGAAACTGTGGGCCAGCAATCAATCCAAATATTTCATATATGGTGCAATGGTTAGAATGCAGTACTGCAGGCAAACTCTGCCCACAGATTGAAGTTCAATCCTGATGAGGCTCAAGGTTGACTCAGCCTTCCATCCTTCCAAGGTTGGTAAAACGACAAGAGTTTGTTGGAAGCAATAGGATGACATTGTAAACCACCCAGAGAGTGGTGTAAAGAACTATGGGGTGCTATAATTCCACTTCCAACAAATAGTTATACATTCTTGTTATAAATTTTATCTCTTTGCCTGTCAAAATTTGGTCCAGTTGTTGTAAGTCCTTACAATACAATAGTAAAGGGATCAATGATTGCCTGGGCAAAAAATGTAGGGCATAATATAAATTTAGAGGATTGGGAAAAATGTGGGCTGGTAACTGTTAATTGAAATTGTCAACAGCATTTAAAGAAAATCAATATCCAAACACAAAAGCAGAATGTTGGAAGTGCAAATATAAAGAAGGAACATTCTTCCATATGTGGTGGCAGTGTCCAGAGGTTAAAAAATATTGGATGAGGGTACAAAGATGATTATTAGAAATTACAGATCACAAATTAGAACTCAAACCGGAAATATTTTTATTAGGAATAATTAAGGGGAAACTGAACAAGGCCATCCAATACATCATTATACATATCATAACTGCGGCAAGAATAGCCTTCGCACAGGGATGGAAGAAGGAAAAGATACCATCTGAAGAAGACTTGACACAAAAAACAATGGATTGTGCGGAACTGGATAAATTCACAATGGAATTAAGAGGCAAAGATGATTTGGACTATTACGCGGTTTGAGATAGGTGGTACTAATGGGTGGAGGATAGAAATAAGAGTTGATGTTTATGTATAAAAAGAGATGTATGTATTAATAACAACATGAACACTGTATTTTTGTTTTTTAAAAAATAAAATATTTTAAAAAGTCTAAGTGCTATTGCTATATAAATAGTACTGGGGAAAGTTTCACAAAGAACGTGACATTTACCTAGTGTTAATCCTACATGTAGACCAAACTAAGAAACCAACACCATGAAGGTCAGTCAGTACTACCTTTATTGTAAAGCTATAGCAAAAGAATTCTGCATGTCTGAATGTGCTTCCCTCTTCTTCACTTTATGAGCTAGGAAGGGACTTGTGTAAAATGTTTTTTCAAATTAGTTTTCTGGCCCTGGTGCTTATCTGACTGCTGCCTAATAGTGGCTCTTCTTTCTGTACTTTAAGGCCAATCTCTATGCCCACTACATCTTTTTTTAAAAAATAGAATGCTACAGAAAAATTAACAAAACAAACTCCTTATAAAACAGATACAGGTTAGAAAAATCAACATTATATCCCTAGCAGCTAGCATGGGAGCTCTTGAAAATTAAACTTCCAATCTAACATAGATGACAGCATGCACTGATACATACCCCCTGAATCCTTCAAAAAATTTTCAGTGTGATTTCACAGTATTGGAAGTGTACTTTGAGAACAAGTTTACGTTGCATAACATTTTTTAAAATATAACCTACATGATGTTTTAAAGTGACAGATAAAAATTTAATCTTATTGAACTTTTTAACAATCCACTAATATTTTATTAAATTTGTATTATAAATATTTATAATTCTAATGCAATTCAAGGCTTCTCACCTCCAAAGCTTCCTCCTTCATTATAACCATCATAGCCTCCACCTCCTCCGCCATATCCACCACCTGGATTTCCATAGCTTGGGCTACCACCATAACCACCTCGACTACCATATCCAGGGCTACCACCGTAGTTTCCACCTTGAATTAAATGTAACAAAAATTGGTTGTAAATAAAAAGACAGAAGTCATTCACCCTTCTGCCAATGCATCTTTCAGATGTTTTGGTTTGTTGCATGCATCATTCCTAATTATTAACCACATGTGCCTTTGAGATCAGAACTGTTTTTCCACACAAATGGAGGTATCTAGTTTGAAGAACATAAGCAATATTCCACAGGTCATATTTTAGTACTTGCTTTGAAAGCAATGACACTGTGCTCCATTGAAATTACTGGGTTAAGCTAATAATACCTGACTTAAATCATCTAATTATTCAGTACACAGATTTTCTTTATATCTCAACCGTTTCTATGTCAAGATATTCCATAGTCCCTAAAAGCTGTATCCTATTATACTTGTTTCCTTTAATGATAAATATAACTTCTTACCCTTTTTCATACCAGGAACAGGAGTGGTTTTATAAAGGAAGTATAAAGAAACATGTTATCCCTTAAAAACTTTCCCCAATCTGGTCCTCACCAAGCCACCTTTCGAACTGAAATCTTTTTGACACCAGTGCAACCAGGTGTGGCTGTCAAGCTACTGAAAGTAATATAGCTCAAGTGTTATGCAAGTTGTATCTGTACTACCATGCTTACCATCACCAAAGCCATTATATCCATCGCCACTGCCAAAGCTTCCTCTACTGCTGCCACCACCTCCACTACCGTAGCTTCCTAAAGCAGGACAAAAGTATTATGTTATGAACAAGTTAACAACCAATAATGTAAAACAATATCTTGGAAGGACACTGGGGAGAACTAGCATGTACCTCTACTACCAAAACTTCCACCTCTGTTGTAACTTCCACCACTGCCTCCAAAGTTTCCACGACCCATGAAGTTGCTTGAACTACTCCCACGACCTTAAATAAAAACAATACAGTGAATGTCTAATGGTGTTCGATAGGTAGCATACTTGCTGTATTTTGGACTCCTACTAAGACTCACTTCTTTGTGCAGTTGCAGTCTGCATTTCTTGCTTGGAGAGAGCTTTCTTCACTTCGCAGTTATGTCCATTTATAGTGTGATATTTCTGAACTAAAATAAAATTTGAAATTAATTATTGCTATCAAAATATGCATTCTGCTCAATAATGATTTATGCAAAAAATTGTAAAATATAAAAAAAAATCAAAACACAAACCCATACTGATTCTCTTACCCACATATAATTAAAAGTATGAAACCTCTTCATTTTCAAGGGCATCCAAACACTTGCAAAGTAATTTATTCAGACTTTTATCTCTAACTTTAAATTGAGTTAAATTGTTTTGACCTCTATTCTGGCTTGGTTTGCCTTTCAACCCCAGTAGAAAAAAGCAGAATTCTGATTTTCAATCAGCTTGCCTCCTCCTTTTTTCTTCTAGAATATGTGGACCCAGAGAATTTTAAAGGGAAGTAAAAGAGCTTCTTAGAGTCAAATGACTGAAGTAGCAAGCAAGCAAAACATAACAAGGTACCAGAGGCTGGTGCTTTCCAATCAGTCCAACTCAATTGAATGAGTATAGAATGCAGGTAAAATTCTGCTTGTACATGTAGGAAGCTATTAGATTGGGAAGCCTTGTTGCAACAGAGCTAAGAGTTCTTGGCCTTAGGGAATATCTAGTTTGTCAAACAATTTTTCTATCAGTTTCTTTTGGTGCTTTCCTCAGTAATGACCCAATTATATTAAATTATAGTGAGGAGGCTATGGATTTCTGGTCCATCAATATTTGCTTTCTTGTTACTTTTAAACTTTACTCTTTTATCCTCTTCCTTTTTTCTTTCACATTAGTTTGTATTTTATTGGTATTTAATATAATAAAGGTATTAAAAATAAATAAATTAAAACTGCAATTAGAGTTTTGACCTGAACCTGCCTTTGTGTAATCACTAATCACCCTTTGAGCTGGAATCTCTCAAAACCATTCCCCTGCTGGAAGTATATATTTCCTTTGGAGCGAGGTTTTTTTTGAGATTTTGATATTCTGCTAAAGTTATTAGTTAAGCTGTTCAATTTGTTTGGGAAATTCATCCAGCTACAAAAGGTGGCTACTGGACTTCTGTGCAGCAATAACAGCAAACAAGCAAATTGAAAATATTGTACTTTATGAAAAATGTTATCATACTGCCTCCCAGGTAGGCATTTAAGCATAGTGGAAAAATTCAAGAAAGCCCTGGGTAATGAAAATGATGGAGTCAAACATGTGCTTGTGAATAAACAACTATCAGATATTTGAAATTGGAGAAACTGATGTAAATACACAGAAGAAAAAATAGTCAAGAATTGAATTTGGGGCTACAAAGTATAATCTTTTAAAACATTGAAATATCTTACATTATTCCTACGATAAAAGTTTTGTTTATTAAAACACAGTACATATCAATATTTATCAAACAGAAGTTACCAAAAAGACAAAATACTACATACCAACAATTTTGTCTACTGTATCATGATCATCAAATGTCACAAAGGCAAAACCTCTTTTCTTTCCACTCTGCCTGTCTTCCATTACTTCAATGGTTTCAATTTTGCCATATTTTTCAAAATAATCTCTTAAATTATATTCTTCTGTATCTTCTTTAATTCCACCAACAAATATTTTCTTTACTGTTAAATGAGCACCAGGTTTCACAGAATCCTATGGAATTTTAAGTTAAAATTAGTATTTCAAACTTTTATATTAGTTCAATATTTGAAAAACACATTTAGAAGCAGGCAAGCATTTGTGTAACATTTTAAATAATTACTTACTTCTCTAGAAACCGCTCTCTTTGGCTCTACCACACGGCCGTCAACTTTATGTGGTCGAGCTGCCATTGCAGCATCTACTTCTTCCACACAAGAATAGGTCACAAAACCAAAGCCTCGAGAGCGTTTTGTCTGTGGGTCTCTCATCACCTTCAAGAAATATAGAATACAGAGAATGCTGATTGAAACATTTTTTGTTTAAATCTAATTCTCTAATTGAGTAGAGCAGAGTTTATCCCAAATGCAAAGACATACAAATGTTATAATTTCTCACCACACAATCTGTGAGCGCGCCCCATTTTTCGAAGTGGTCTCTTAGGCTATCGTCTGTTGTTTCAAAGCTCAAGCCACCAATAAACAGCTTTCTCAATTGTTCTGGCTCTTTAGGATCATGACCCTGAAAGAAGAAAAGTTTCAGTATCTGCACTAGATTCATACTGCTGCTCAAAAATTCACTTAAGTAGTTTGTCTACAGTTTGCAATTATTAAATAACTTACCACTTCTATAGCTATATGCTTCAGTATGATACAAATGTATTTATGTACTTATTTTCTAACATGTAGGCATATAGCTATAATCTGAGGCTGCAATTCTATTCATAACTGCTCTAATTGTCCAACTGAAATCTATATGATTTATGAAAAGTAGAAAAGGAATTACAAATGCAGTAAAACTGCCAATAGCCATCTATCTATCTATCTATCTATCTATCTATCTATCTATCTATCTATCTATCTACCTACCTACCTACCTACCTACCTATTTTTCAGCTTTGTTCGGGTATTTTCCCACGTCATTATAGTTGTGCTTTTAAAGTTGTAGCAACGTTTCGGCAGAATCTCATCTGCCATCCTCAGGCTTGTGTATTGTGTTCGTGTGTGTGTGTGCGCGCATGCGCGCACACACACACACACACATTCATTCTATGGAAAGGGCTATTACTGTTAGAATTTCATTACATTCTATCTACATATGATTAAAAGAACCATATTTTAAAAAAATTAACCATCTTTTAAACAAAATTTAGCATAATTCCAGTTTTTCTTTTTCTTTTGTACAGTTCATACTATTTTGTTCAAAATATTCTAACAAAGTTAAAAGCTATTGGATTCTAGTCATACTAATCCAGGGTTCTCACATTTATGGCCTGCAGACTTCTTCTGTAAGGCCCATCATGGCTCACACATCAGATGCTGTTTCAGCTTTTATTCCTGTCCCAATGTGTGCATTTGTCCCAGATTTCTGAGCCACGAGCATTCTGACCCACCCCGCCCCATCTTCTCTTCTGCAGAGCTCACTTGTCCTGCACAGTGTGAGCACCGAGTCTCCCCCACATCACCAAGTAGCTGTGCCACTGCAGAGAAATCAATGTTGAACAAAGTAGTATTGTGGAGAAAAGCAAAGGCAGCTTCTGCACAAGCCATGCTGTGGAGGAGTGTAGAGACTCTGCAAGGGAGGAAAAAGTGGAAAAGGAGTGCCAGCCACACCTTCACTTCTCCCCTGCAGTACCTGCTTGTGCACTTTCTGCTTCTGAGCCATCTTTCCAAGTCACTTAGTAATCTATCTGTCTGCTGATGACACAAAGAACCAAAACTGGAACTGCCAGGTAGGCTAATAGGACAGAAAGCAAGATGAAACGGAAACACAGGAAAAACAGTTCCAAAGAAAATTTCACCATTGCCATATGATTTTGAGCTTCCAGACAACCCATGCACAGAGTAAAATATTTGTGCTCCACATGCTTTTCTTGGTCTAGAATCGAGTGATTGGTGCCAACTTTGGACACAATGCCCTGGAGTGAAAAAAAACAAACTACAGTACTTAGATCAGAGACGGAGAATCTATGACATATATGTCAAGGGGGATATGCCAGATTGTTTTGGGTGACACAGTAATGTTCACTAACAGATGAGAACTATTCTTGAAAACATAATCTATTCTCATACAATTTTCAGAGACCCCAGAGGACACGTAAGAATGAAATATGCTCTTGTGCAGCCTCTAAAAATCATGCAAAAACAAGGCATGCTTTCAAATGGTTTTTGGAGGCAGTGGAAGAGCATTCTATGAAGCTGCTTCACAAATCAAGGTGTTATGCAACCTGGAGCAGCCTTGGATAGGCTGCAAGGGCCTGTCAACAGAAAGAAAGCACGCCTAAAAGTAAATGTGCATGGGAATTCTTGGAAGGTGTTGGGCCATGGGGCAATCACACATTCTCCAAAGTTTGGGATGCTTAGGGGAATGGGATATGGCAGCTTTTTTAAATGACAGCAGTGGTGCAAGGATTCAAGACAAGACATGGGCTTCTACTTCAGGCCTAGTCTCGGTGCTGCCAAGTACTGCTCTTCAGGGCAGCCTAGATAGGGGAGAGATACAGAATTATTTCTTTTGTTCGTGAATGGGGACCATGTCAGTAGAGACACAGTTTTTGAATTTTTGACATGTCAAGCCCAAAAGGTTCACCATCACTGACTTAGATCTTCCATATTAATTTAGATGGATGGATGGCAAACCAACCAGCCATAGAGGGAAGTTTCTCTCTGTGTGTGTGTGTGTCTGTCTGTATGTCTAAGTCTAAAAGAGATAGAAGCTCACATCCTTTTATTTGAGGGCAACTAGCTAGTGCCAGGCTCCCAAAAGGATTGGGGGCCATACTTCTTTAAATACTAGGTTGAGTGTTCAAAGAATCTGGTCTTCTTTTCTAGGTATCACTAGAAAACAGAAAGAATCAAATTATTCTCTCTTCTTGCTGTTTCCTAGTCCAATCTCTCAATTTGAAAATCTTGTTTCCATTATCCAGAACTTCTGGATATGCTCCAAATTCTAGACTAATAGAATTCAGAGCAGGTGAACAGTTATGGATCCTTCTTTCTGAAAACAGTCTCATGTGGGCAGAATGGAACAATAGAACTTGAAGAGAATGTGTGCAGAGTTCAATACATTTTCTTTCCAAACATATCACTAGTTACAAACTGATAAATCCAGGAGATGGAGTGACTAAAAATATCTCTATTTTTCATATTAACATTGTCACTTTCCTGTTTAGCAACTCTTCATTTGAAACAATTCACAAAGAGGAACATAAATTTGGTATCATTAAATTTAATTTGCATTTATTAGAAGTTATACATTTTTGAATTAATCAGATTAACTGGTGATTCTCAAAACAAACACATCAATTTTTTTCTGCCTCAGCAACAACACATTTTAAAAGGCTAAAGTCAAATCCCAAGATTGCAAAGAAAGGAGAAAGTTATTTAACTGACAGTCATTTTGTCAGTGAATCAAGTAGGGTGTGTCTAATAATGATAAAGGCACATGGAATAGGAAAAAGAATACCTGCATTTGAGTTGTAAAACTATTTGAATTTTATAGCAACAGCTGACTTCAAGGGAGTTTTGATTAGTATCTGAATAATGGAAAGTAAACATTAACGATTGTGATTGGCCTTAATAACCTAGCTGAAATGTTTATTCTGATCTCCTATGGTGTTTTCAAATGGAAATTGTAATCAATGGCCATAATGACAAAACAGTTAGCCTATACTTCCCCTTTGGATAATTGTATTTATAATGAGTGGAATACTGCTGGTATACTTTAATCTTTCCCTGACAAAAAAACAAGAACATATCACCTATTGTAAAGCAGTAAAGTCTCCATAACTCTTAATTCTAAAGCCTCTTCTTACAAAATTGCTAGTCCCAACAATCTCTTTTTTAAGAGATGGAAAAGGCCATGGACCACTAGGTCTTTTTCTGCCATCAGTTTTCTCTGTTTCTATAATCTCTATTCAGTTCAACGCTACAGAGGAAATAAAGGTTCCACTAAATAAACTAAAAGTTAAGTCTGGACCGTTAAACTTTTTTCAAGAACTACCACTGTATCATTCTAATTCTCCCTAAGATACATTTATGCAGGTTATTACAAGCCATCTGTCTGTGGATAGTAGCAAGCTCTTGCAGTTCCTTATAACTGTAAGGTAGAAATCGTAAGGAATACAAGGAGGAATTTTTCAATTATAGGAGTTTAAAGTTCTATTATTTAAAGCATATATTGATTACTTCTGATATGTTGAAGTATTTACTTAAATATTGTTAATAATTATAATTTCTATAGTTAATTTTCAACAGATGGCCATAGTTCTCAAAAACAGCTTAACTGCTGAACATATGTAAATATTACATAACCCAAATATTCGGGTATTTATTCAAGTGAAGCTTATCTATCAATTAATAACTGTATATATACCTAATTTTGAATGATGCAACTCTTGAGTCTGAATTCAGTTTTTTTACTATATGAAACAGATACAATGTTCTTTTTTTAAATAATGTAAATTTTCAATTCTCAATGTTCTAGTTTTTAATGGAACAATACTGTTCAAAAAGCAGCAATACAGGTAGTCCTCGACTTACGATCACAACTGAACCCCAAATTTGTTGCTAAGCGAAACATTTGTTAAGTGAGTTTTCCCACATTTTACGACCTTTTTTGCCACATTTCTTGCCACCATGGTTGTTAAGTGAATTTGCCTTCTCCATTAACTGCTTGTCAAATGTTGCAAAAGGTATTCACCATAACCCCAGAACACTGCTACCATCATAAATATATGTCAGTTTGCCAAGCATTTGAATTCTGATCACATGATCATGGGGATGCTGAAACAATCAAAACTGTGAAAATGGTCATGTTACTTTTTTAGTACCTTTGTAGCTTTGAACGTTCACCAAATGAACTGTTGTAAGTTGGGGACTACCTGTACCTCCTCAATGCAACATGGATTTTAGTCAACTAGACATGTCCATTCAAGCAGACAGAACCACCAATAATTGCCTGGTTTTGGACTTTGATAATTTAACTACAATTTTAAGATTTAGATATTAGTCTTCAAATTATTCCTTTTTCAGTAACATAAATTTATAGAATTATGCACATAATAGTGCACTTACTGTAAACCTTTATACTGGGAAAAGGAATAATGTATTTTCAAAAGCGAAGCAGAACAGAGTAGTGCAATATGAAATCTGAGCCACACAGACCTATCAAAGCAGCAGCAAGCAAAAACTGACTTCAGTTAACTCAAGTAAAAAAAAAAAAGCTAAAATCATAAAAATATTCCACCTGTGAGGATCTTCTTCCCCTTCTCTTGCAATCTTCAGCCTCTCTCTCCTCTTTACACGCCATTTTGGGAGTATGTTCTGACTCAGTTGCTCCTTTTAACCTAGGTAACAAGTAGTAGGAGTTCCTGTGAGTTTTCTCCTTACTCTCATACCAAATAAAGGGGCCTTAATTTTCAAGGGACAATATATTGGAGCCACTTTAGCGTAAGTAATGTTACTGTATGAGAGAGTAAGTAAATAAGTAAAAAAGGGATAGGTTTCTATTATCAACCCATGTAATGTATTTTTTAAAAATAAAAACAGAATATGAATTGAGAAAAACAAGCATGTTCATCATGATATGCTATCAGGATAGCAAAATGAACTGCTAGCCAATTAAATTGTATTCAAAACTATGCAGTAAGAATCGATTAAAATTGTTTCTAAATAGATACTATATTTATTTGCATTCATCATATGGACTGGACTAAAGAAGCAAATCCCAGTAGGGGAAAGAGAATCAATACCATTTCCAAGGAACTCAGTTTATAAACACCCTATTCCCTGGATATTCCTCTTGGCTGTTTATCTTTAGATCTGGGAGGGGTTGTTATTAATACTTAAAGGCTTTTGCTATAGTAAATGCTTTGAAAGCTACTATCTTGAGCATTTGGAAAACAGGCTTCTCACTGTTTTCCTTCAGAATGTCTTAAATCAAGCTTGTGCATGTTACTACTCAAGACCTTGCTCAGACATATATTAATTAAAAATGCACCACTTAAATGCAGCTGTAATTGGGCACTAATATTTCACTATGGCCAAAATAATTAAGTACTAACAAATCATTAAACATGTTTCACATTTAAAAACAGCACTTCCACTGTACCAAAGTTATTAGGTATTACCTTGAGAAAGGTGAACCTAACAATTGGGTAAGAATATCTCAAAAAAAGCCTTCACTCTATGTGAAGTGATGGAGATAGCAATAGTAATAAGATTTATATACCACTTCACGGTGCTTTACAGCCCTCTCAAAATGGTTTTGAGTCAGCATATTGCCCCCAACAATCTGGGTTCTCATTTTACAGACCTCGGAATGATGGAAGACTGAGTCAACCTTGCGAGACTTGAACTGCTGGCAGTGGGCAGCCAGCAAAATTAGCCTGCAATACTGCCTTTTAACTACTGAGTCACCACTGAGATAAGGTCAAGATGGCAAGTCCTCTTTGTTACAATCTCTGTCCTTTGGAACTCCTTGCCTTCAGAGGTTTGGACATTTTTTTTTTTTGGTATTTCGTAGAGCTGTCCTACCTCATATCATTCTTTTAACCAACTTTGAATGTTTCTGATGTCCATCAGAGATATTTCTATTATCTGGGAAGGGTTATAAAACTGTACAGTAAACACATTATCCCAAGATTGTAGATCTGAGAGAGCTGAATTTAAAATTGATAAAACTGCATTCAGCTAAAAGAATTGCTTACAATCCTGAAGTAATTGAATTACAAGTAGAATTGAGGCTGGTATAGATTATCACAAAAAAAACCCACACCCTCTCCAATTAAAAATATTATTGGGTTTCAATATACTTTTGTATACTTTCTTTCATCTCTTTTCTTACTAAGATTCTGAAATGCATACAAAACTTTTTTTGGAAATAAAAAGATTAAAATGGGACATAACTTGGATAATCTTTGCATCTGTTTGCATTCATATTATACCTGCCCACTTAAAAATAGGTAGATGGAATTTTAAAACTGTGGGCTAATACAAATAGAAAACTCTCCCTTCTACAAGGCCAGAAAAAAAGAAAAATCAAACAAGAAATACAATACCCCGTCTGTTTTTTCTTTCAAAACTATAGGTGACACAGAAGCATCAGCTGCTGACACATTTCCAAATTACAATTTGGAAAAGCAAAGATAGAGAATGCAAGCCTAGAAACAACACACAATAGCAAGCCCCAGCAGAGTCCCACAGAAAGCAGCTAGATGGACCCTTAGGATAACTGATCTTCAGCATTAAAAATATAATACTAAAGTAATCTTATAACCTTGAGTTCCTTTTGAACAAGACTGTTCTCTAGTTGAATCATTTCACACTGTTCTCTAGTTGAATTATTTCACAATCAAAACATAATTTCAACATTTTATGCCCCAAATTATAATTCCCCCCCACAGAACCAAGTGATTTAGGTTCAATCAATATACTTCAGGCTACTTGGAACTCAACTGAGTGGCACATTTTTCCAAATAAGTTGGTGACATACAATCATAGCTGTCTGTTCCTCCTGCAATTTAGATGTGCATAGGTTAATGATTTCCTAAAAACTGAATATAGTTTGGCAATTTATGTGGCAGAGGCAAAAAAAGTTTAAAATTGTGACTATGGTATTGATAGAAAAGTATTACAAGTTACTCTTTTATAATAGGATTTTATGTAGTTTAAGTATAGTTAAGCTAGAAGATTCCTCTTTACTCTTTCTGTTACATATAAAACCCCCGACCCTAAAATGTGTTCAGTGACAAGTACATGATGCATTGTTACAATCTTCTTGGAAAACAGGAAGATCTGCCCAGGGCTAGGCAACAAGTAGATAAGGGATATCTCAAGGTAAAGCCCAGTAGTGAAACAAGACACAAGGCACAGAAAACAATGTCATGTTGACCCTTAAGCCTCTGGTTTAGCTCATCTTAGAATGTGGAAAGTAAGGGGGTGTAGGGAGGGCCTCTTAGGCGTGGTGTGTTCTGTGCAACAGTATAAATATATTGTTTGAATATGGAATTTTGCTCTCCTTGTACTCAATCCACTTGGGAAGGGTCTTGGAGGCCCCGCTTGCAACTGCCTTTTATTTTCTTCAATAAACCTTTGAAATTGTGCACCAGACTTGTCTTCATATTGTGAGTATAAATTTATTCAGGATCTTATATCTCACAGTATGATAAATTAAATAATTCAGAAATAAAGGGTCCAGAAAGTTAATCTATCCCACACTGTGCAATCTTATATACACACCCTGTGATACTTACAAGTGTGAAGAGGACTTAAAGACATAACAGGATTGTTCACTTTAATGTAATTACAGAACTTAGGTTTGAATGCTAGTCAATCAAGAATCTAAAGATTCATTAAACCTGAGATAGAAGATATGGTGGTTATCTGAACCAGCAAAATTCAGTCATAACTTCAAGTAGAAAAAAATACTGATTCCATACAGAAGTATTAAGTGATCCAATACCACTTTTACGAATTATCAAACCCCCCAATGGCTTTCCTATCGAAGCCATTCAACTGCTATCAGAAAATTAAACAGAAAATTAACTGTAGAACTTATGCTATTATTATTCTTTGCGGTGAGCTGGCGACATACATATAATATCACTCCAGTGCGGGTGGTGTAGTAGACGTCACAGGCAAGAAACGGTGCAATATTTACTATTTCTAAAAGACCAGGTTCACAGAAACAGCGTTCAACAATTCATATTTGGGGATCCTACTCAATGGGATTTGCTCCTGGATTGCAAAATACAACACACACCGTTGGAAAAAAGGGAGCATTTTCCTAAGGGTAACTAAAGCACAATTACGAGTCGGCGGCGCCGGGATCTGCGTGTGCGCGTGTCTCTATTGCGCGCGCTGTATCCTCCGTTAACCTTCTCGTCCCTTCCAAGGAAAACTGGGCCGGCTGCCTGGGATTTACCTAACGTGCCACGCTGACTATTCTCTCCTCCCCACTCCCGGCTCTATTGCGGCTGTTCTCGCTGGAGTTAAGCCTCTCTCCCCCGCGCGGGGGTCACAATGGCGGCCGAAGCAGCCGCCTTTCCCGCTGCAAGCCTCCTCACCCACCCCCTCCAGCCCGTTGCGCCATTTCGGAGACGTCGTGTGGCTAAGCTTGTGGGGGGGGGGAGGGAAAGCAAAGAACCGAGCCAGCTCGAGAGCCGGTCAAGAGCCCACTCCTCCCCGCCTGGCCTCCCTGCTCGTTGCTTCGTCTGCCGCGCCTAGCCATCTCCGGGGTCCGCTGCTGCCAAAGCCCATGGCCCGCCGCTGTTCCCGCGCGACGCCGAGCATCGTTACCTCCATTTTGTGACTGGATTTTGCCTCCTTCAGCCTCAATATGGAGTCGAGAGGAAGAGGGTGGGAGGAGCGGGTCAGAGGAAACTAGGGCACGTGAGAGAGGAAGGCGGGCTCGACGGCAAGGAAACGGGGGGGAGGGGGAGAGGAGGGGCGGAACGGACGCTTTTCAGATTTTTGTTTGGGGACGGAGGGCTCGACGGCAAGGAAACGAGGGGGGGGAGGAGGGGCGGAACGGACTCTTTTCAAATTTTTGTTTTGATACGAACTACCGTACAGTACGGTATTTTACAAGTTGTGCCGGCGGGAGAGATGCGGGGAAGAATGAGGTGCTTCTTGACATTAACTACCTGAAAAAGAGGAGAGGATTGCCACGAAGGAGCGCAACGGTAGAACCTGGGAGGAAAATTCTAGACCACGCGCTTGGTGCGCGGGGCTGTCCGTCACCTCGTTGCGCCGCCTTAAACCATCGAGGTGGAATGCGTAGGAAAGAACGGCCCGAGCCGCCAGCGCGAGATCGGCTGCTTGAAGGAGGCGTGTGTATGTGCGCGCGCCAAGAGCGCGCGTTTACGCTTGCTCATCTCGTGCTCGGAGCGAGCAACGCTGGGCTGGAGAGGGCATGACGGCGTAGCTGCGTTTGCTTCTCTAAACAGCTAATCTGCGCTTCCCTTTGGGCGGGAAGCAGTGCTTCCTCGCTTGTCGAGAAAGCGTGTGTCATTATTGGGTAACTTCCCGAACTGGTGCGCGCTTTCCTGATATAGTGGAATATATGCCCCACGTGATCTCGCCGCCCTTGAGGGTTCTTCGGAGTTATTGTAGCCAGTCCAATGCATCCGGGAAGCACCGGGTTGAAAAAGGACGGCGAAGAAGGGAGGGAATAAGTGATTGGGAACCCGGCTGCTTTGTCTAAAATGCAGCTTGGTTGTTCGCTTGCCTCCTTTCTGGACTGGTTTGTTCATTGGTCCTTTCTGGGCTGTGCTTTCGCCGTCCTAAGAAAAAATACCGGGGGAAAAGACGGTCCTTCCATTTTGCTCGCTCACAATCTCCATCTTGGGATCAGCCGCATGGAGCTGAGTTGCGTTTGGCTTGTAGGCGCTTCGATGGCGCGTGTTGCTTCCCCCCCCGCCCCCACAGATACGCGAGACGCTCACAGAAGAAGCCGTTAACTGTTCGAATCGGTCGACCCCGCTGATCGAATTCGAAATAAACGTTCGGCTCAGATTGGTTTCATAGATACCCATCCTCCCGGCTTTCCCCACCCTTCTTCTACAGAAGAGACCCTCGAGGAAATACAATAGAGTCTCGCTCAGCCACTTTAGCTGATAAATCAGTTTCAGTTGGAGTTTCGTAGGCTAGATAAATAAATCTCGGTTTTTCTGCCAAGTGGCAGTCTTCGGCTTTTCGACCCTTTCGCCGGTTTCTGTTATTGCTGGACTGCCTGAGAAAGGCGCCATTTCTTCTCGGCTGCGCTCCCTTAAAGCTGAGGCGGAGGAGCCAACATTGTTGTCCCCAGCAGAAAAAAAGACGCTCTCCCCACCGCCCGAGGAGAAGAGCAAAATCTCTCGGGAACAACGGCTAAGACCTTGCCAGAAATCTTCAAAGGCATAGGGCGGTGGATTGGGTTCTTCAGTTTGTTTATGCACAATTTCATTATATGCTCAGTGAAATTCAAGCAAACGTTTATCTCATTCAGTTGTCCAGAGGAAAGATGATAATTTGGTGTTAGGATTACAGTTTTGATTTTCCTGATCTACAGTTGAAGTATTTAAATTAATATTAACAAAATCATATAAATTCTACATTCTTATAAACAAATTTACAACACAAGTAAACAGTGTTTTGCTTTTTAGTTGAAATGGAACCATTATCAAAAAATTTCTGAATTAGTGGTTTGTAGTATTAGATTTCTCGAAAGTAAAGACGCAGATAATATATGCAGAAATGATTTGATGAGACACTAAATACATGTACTTAACTGTACACAAATATATAATAGGATTTATAGAAAACTGCTCAAATAATGTTGATAATAGTGAGAACATCTTCAGGGTGGCAGTTTAATAACATAGTTAAACCTACTTGAGACATGGAAAAAAGTTCCCTTTGAGACAGACCTGACTTCTGGTGATTTCATGGACATAGTTTGGAATCAATACACAGGTGGTTTGCCATGTCTTTCTTTCAAAATTATTTTTGACTTCTAGTTTGAACCTATAGCCCAAGTATTTCTTGTTGATTTCCTGTTCAAATACCAAATTTGACCTTGTTGAGCTTTTCAGGATCAGTCAAGTTTGCCTTAAATGCTGCCATTTAGCTGAACAAGCTGAAGACAAGAATTTTTAAAATCAAATAAATTACAAGGTGAAAAATTAAGGTAGCACTAGTATATCTTTGCTTCACCTTCATATATATATGCTTCACCTTCATAGATGTATGTGTGTATGTATGTACATACATACATACATACACATACATATATACACACAAACGTCACCAAAATACTTCCAATTTTATGCAGAAGACCCGAATAACCAAAGATCCACATACCTATTTAGGTATTTGTTTTATCTAGAAATCTCAGACTGGAAAAAGGTATTCTTATGAAAATGTATGTTGGAAAATTACACCAGTGCGATATCCTGCATTTCTCTTTCTAAAATTTTCTTAAATATATAACAACAAATTGTAATCTTGGGAATAAAATCTATGAAGGGTATATGTGGAGATATTTTCTAGTGATGCCAAGATGGCCAACTGCTCGGGAGTTATTTTGCAGAGTTTTCTCTTTCAATTATAAAGAATTGATTTTTACGAATGCATCTCTTGGACATGAAAAATACTTGAATTAAATCTTAAAAGAGATTTAAGAAAAGAAAAAATTCTAGAAAGCCCGTTCTCTAAAACTGTTATTTGACATTTAATGCTGCCTTAAAAGAGTGTATTCAGATGAGCAAGTATTAGTTTTTCAGAATTAGATTATCCTTGTTTTTCAGAGCTAGATTGTTTTAGATTATTTTATTGTAACTCCATGCATAGGAACAATCCAGATTTTTAGTATTTCTTTTACAAAATTGATATTTTTGAATATCATACTACATATTTTATTAGATAATCCAGCACAAGCATTTAAATATGTTAATTATATATTTATGAATATCTGCTGTGTGCTTAGAACTACGGTGATTAGATTTCTGTTTTTGTATCTTGAGTTTTATATCTCTGCAGTTCAGTTACTAGCAGCTGAATTTTATGCCATGCAATAACAGCTGCATGGATAATGTGTCTTTGTATATTTTTTCACAAGGATGACATCCCTATAAAAGAATGTATTGCAGGAGGCTTTAATAATATATAGAATTACTGTATAATGAGCAACCTGTTCCATAAATATATATAGATACAGATATAGATATTTTTAAAGATGTAAATAAAAGGAGGAAGGTCAGAAGATATTAATGTTTCAATAATTTTATTTATCCCTACTCACATATCAGCAAAATTATATAATGCAGGAATGCATGTTTCTGTATGTTTTTGTCTTGTGACTGGTAATTTTTTTTTTATTCCAACTGTAAATGTCCAGGCTGGTCCATAAAATATATGTCTATCAGAGGAAATACTTGCACTGGGAGATTGTTCATAGTTTATTTAAGGATAACAAATTTCATGTGTTGTATTTTAGTCAATGTCAGTGACTGCTGATTTCACTTAAGTATGTATGTTCCTTTGTAATCCCTTTAATTTCCATGAAGAGATTTATAGTGGGGAAAATACGTTTTACCATACTTACAAATAAGAAGTAAACTTTTGATAATACCTGATTTTAAACATCAAAATTTAGGAGATATGTGTCCCTTCTGTCTGTCGCCACTGATGAGCAGGATTAAAAAAAACCCCATGACTGCAATGCAGGTCTGTATGTGGGAGTGGCTCCCTGCAAAAGCCCTAGCCTGTGTTTCAACCAATAAGAGTCAGCACTCTGCAGCTGGATTTGATTATGTGTTGATCTGAATTTTCTTTTTCAAAGGCTTCTAGACACAGAAAAAAAAATCTCACACCTTTTTTCCTTTAAGACAAGCAATTTCCTCAGCATATTTATTAAACAATAAATTAGGAATCATGATAAAAGACAACTTAATTCTTAGAATTTAGCAGAAGCAAATTAGACCTGAAATCATAACCTTTTAGTGAGACAATGTGATTTATGATAGGTAATCCAGTGGGATGAATCACTGTTAGTTTATGGCCTGCTTAGCCAAAAGTCTATATATTCAGAATTGCCAAATAGAAGAAAATGATAATGCTTGCAGAGAAAATATCAATTTAACAACGGTCTCTATAGAATTTATAGATGGCGTTCTCAGGCTTTCTCAGATTTCCCCATCCAGATTCCTCCACATTTTTTATCAAGGAATTGCCTTCCCTGATTCTTAATCCTAAAAAAGGACACACTGTTGACAAGATAATTTTAATAACTAATTGAGGAAAGAGGATTGGATATAAGCGATTGCTAATTGGAATGGCTTGTTTGGCTTCTGTTTGAAAAATTGACTTCCTCTGCAACTAAGCTTTCTTGTAGACTTGATGTCAGCTGGCTGTTTTGAAGCTTAATTGCAGTGAAAAGTGATGTATATGTGTGTGGTAGAAAGTAATAAAAGTGTTGCTCCAAGGAAACATTTTAAAGACTGCATGTATGGTGGTATCCTGCTTGTTAGTACGAGGGCTATCCACAAAATAGATTATGTTTTGCGATAGAAAAAAAACGAAGTGTAGGATTTTTTTTTTATTATATACACTTGAAAGTGACACTTAAATACTGCTTTTCAACATATTCACCGAACAAATTGAGGCACTTATCATAGCAGTGAACAAGCTTTGTAATTCCATTGTCATAAAATTCAGCCGCCTGAGATTTGAGCCAGTCAGTCACGCACGCCCGCAGTTCTGCGTCGTCGTCAAAGCACTGTGTTCCAAGCCAGGTCTTCATCCTCAGAAACAAGTGGTAGTCGCTTGGTGCAAGATCGGGCTATAGGGTGGATGAGGAAAAATCTCCCACTTGAAAGCATTCAGGACTTCTCG